GTATGTTTTTGAATTTAGATTCAAATCGTGTTAGATGTATTATTTATAGTTTCTCATGGCCTATGTACCTAGTGAGGTAACTGAAATGATAGTTTAGAGCATGTCTTCACTGCCACATCCATTATCAATTTTATTTCAAAACCTTCAGTCTTTTCTCTTCATAATTAAAAAAAGACCTGTAAGGGCACGGTAAAGAATCCTGCAATTTGGCTGGTTCATAGCGCGGTCCGTATTTTCCTATCTTTGCCTAAGGGTGCGACAACGTTTTCGCGGGTCGCTGAGTACATCCCTAGCTTCGTTGAATGTGTTGGTGAAGCCTGTTTCCTTAAATTACCTTATCGCTGTTTTCTCTTCTTTCTACTCGCTAAAAAATTGTTGGAGAATGCCAGTTGCCGTAATTGCAGCCCTAATGAAACGGGTTATTTGTGCAACAAGTTCTAAAGATGTTAGAAAAAAAATAAAAATGCTATTCACCAGCCTTGGTCCATTCCTATTAAGAAAAACTGTGCTTTGTGTTCTCGGCCTGCGGTCTCGACCTCAGGCACAGTTTTGCCAATATGGAGTTTCCGGCTATAATAATCTTTTTTCGGGTAGAGATTTTCGCTGGCATTAATTCGATTATTCGACAAAATGAACAAAAATCTGTAACAGGACAGCTGTGGGTAATTAATCGCAAGTAAGAAAAAATCCCGCCAACCCAGGGTTTTGGTTAGTTGCAAGTACCAAAGTTGTGTTGTTCATTTTAGCAAACAGAAAGACCGCGAGAGATAGAGATTATTCCATGGAAAGTGCGCACGAACGATTTTATTTGTAACATATCTCACGCAAAGCCAGCACTCTGATTGGTCAATTAAGTGTCTACTATTTGCCCACGGGTGTACGATGCCGAAGTGAGCAAATGTTTCCAGGTGAGCATTTGTTTCGCAAGTAATTGTTTTTCGTGTTTAAAACAAATAGTAAACACCAAAGCGTACACTACTACACTACTGAGTTATGCATGCACTTGGGAGGTTTGCTAAGCACTCAAAAAGCTATCTACTCGAGCGACTCTTGCGCTCCTTTCGTGCTTAGCAACTTCCCGTGTGCATCATAACTCCATAGCGTATGCTGTTTTGTTTACCATTTGGGATCCGGGATTTAGCATATTTGAAGGCCGGGAACCGAGAAGTCGGAAAAAGAACAGTGCGAGAAGCGGGATTGTTCGTATGAACGGGAAAAGGGAATCTGCGATTTTGAGGGGTGGGATACGGGAAATGATCAATAAAACGAACCGAGAACCGGCAAGTCCTTTAACGAGAATTTATACAGAAATTTATCTACGTGAAAGTTCAAAAAAGCCTTACCTCCTATGCAGTCGTTTCTAGGGTAACGTGTTTCCCTTCTCCCCACAAACGCGACTTAAACTGTCAAGTCGAATGGCACTAGACGCAGAGAAAATTCATTCGGTTCGGTGCATCAGAAAGATGTTCTTTGCACGGTGTTAGATTACGCAAGAAACTTTGGAAATACAGACGAATAAGGCTTACAGAGGACAACCCACTGGGTAAGGTATTAGTTTACAAATCCAAAGTCTTGACATCCTGTACCAGAAAGTGCCATGATCCTGTTGGCCATTCCGGTATCAAACCGTTACCACCTGTACCAACGGCAGCATAGAGCGTACAGAAGATGAGGGACTGGGCGTAAACATTTGGTGTAGCAGTGCTTCAACTCTCTGTCAGACTGAAAAGAACGATGGCAAGAGCTGGACCTTTCCCGTGGTACCTCTATCAGACTGAAAAGAACGATGGGAAGAGCTGGACCTTTCCCGTGGTATCTCTATCAGACTGAAAAGAACGATGGGAAGAGCTGGACCTTTCCCGTGGTATCTCTATCAGACTGAAAAGAACGATGGGAAGAGCTGGACCTTTCCCGTGGTATCTCTATCAGACTGAAAAGAACGATGGGAAGAGCTGGACCTTTCCCGT